TTTCCTATATGAATAAAAATGAAAGAAGTATAACTTAAATGAACCTCTTAGGAAATAATAATGGTTAGAAAGAATACTGACAGTATACTCTTGAACCTACTCATCAATATATGTTGGCATTTTATCTTTGTCTTTTAGATGGTGCATTTTTTTTGCATGGATCACATCAACAAATGATGGATCCCTATGTTTCGAATATTTTTTCTTCTACAATATCATTATTTAATTATTGTGTTAATTCACACAAACATGATAATTAACAATAAGATTATTATATAAATTATGATATGAAATATTAAACATAAAAGTAAAATTTTTACCAATTTTTTTACACAAAGTCATTATAATCCATAGATCCATGTGTGTGGGTTACCCTGGGGCCTTTTGTTTGATTTAGTTTTGCTTGCTCTTTACGCATATTAATCTGTGGGTCCTTTGTCCATATGTACTTTGGCTTCTCCCAAACCTCATCAGACATGTATGGCTTTTTTTCAATAAAATTCTTCTTTCTACATAAAGTTTAGATATCAGTCATCATCCACTTATATCGTTTTGCACAAACGTGTAAAAATGCTGTATGAATAGCACTTTCATGAGTAGGGTCCCACTCGTATCTATTTTGAAAAAAAAAAGAATAAGGTCATATATTCATGTATTAATTGACTCATAGAAGAAAATGTACATATATAAATAAAAGCATGTTGAAAATTATTCAATAAAACTACAAACCCAAAAAGCTTGCTAATACACTTCCTTGTGCTTATGAGATATTGAGCCTAACCTGTATATGCATCACGCATATTGGACTTAAGGATAATTGAAATATCCTTTTCAACTTGTTTAGGTTATGTTTTCCCATCCCAATTCCCAATGCCCAGCTTTTGGGAAGGATCCTCTGGCAATTTTTGACATTTTGCAATACCTCGCCTCCTTTTGGGTTGAGGAGACGAGAGTGCACTAGAGTCAGTGTCACTACCATTACCACATGTCTCCCTTGGGGTCTCCCTAACAATAGTACTCGAAGACCCAGTTGCTTGTGATTGATTTTTTCATATAGGCCTTTGAGTGACAACATCAACGACCTTGTCACCCCTACAAGCTCCAAGTATGCAATGCACTGCATAAAAAATAAGAAATAATACTACTTTAGTATATGATTAAAAAAAATGCATTAGATTTAAACTTTAAAAAAATTAAATCAAACATGAAATTTAAAGACAATATCTAAACGTATTAAGAATCACCAAATTAAGTTCTCTTTTGTATCAAGCCATTTACATATCACCCACTGTGTTATAAAAGACCACATACATCCACTACTAAATAATAACAAAATCTATATATACTACTGTTTACACCTAAAATAAACCAATAGGGTAAGGCCACGTGTCAAGGTAAAGCCCAATCATCAAGAAAATCAATAGGTTGAATTTGGGCTGGGTTGGCTTACAATTTAATGGCCCAAACGGATTTCCAAGGAGGTTGGATCTTAGGTGGTAGAAGATAAGATTGGATTTGGTAGTTTGAGTTTGATTTAAAATGGGAAATTGAGGATTTTTAGGTAGTTATCTTTAAGGTTGTTGGAGATAAGGTTAAATAAAAATTGGATAACTATTAAATAACTGCCAGACCTGCAATCCCATTACCAGATCATGGAGGAACAGTGCCGAAAATGGAGGAACAGTACTGAAGATCATGGAGAAGATCATGGAGGAGGTTACCAGCATCGAAGGGAACAAAAACAGAGAGAAGAGAACAGTTGAAGGTCGGCCCAACACACACACAGACTGCCCAGAGCATGTTTTTCAGCTTTCAGACTGTATTTTCCAGATTTCAGCAATAGTTTCCAGATTTTCCAGATTTTCCAGATTAGTTCATAGCCTTAGCCTAGGTTTGTTCACCTTTTGTTCATATTTTCTTCTGCAAATTCCAATTTAGATTAGTTTTTAAACATTTGGAAGCAACTTAGCCTTCAAAACAGGTCTGCCCTTTTGATTCGGTTAGTTCTTCTTCCTTTTATGGATTTAGTTATGTTATTCGTTCATGTAAATAGGATGAATGTTTTCTACCTTTGTTCTTTTATTTCTGCACAATATCCAGACATGCAGTTTGTTTAATTTCAATTTCCAGATTTAAATTTATAAGTTCCAGACTTTAATTATTTCATAGTTTCTTCTTTAGTTTTAATTATCATTATGGGCTGTGTAGTTGAAATCATTGTCTGTTATTTTACTTTTTCTGTTGTCTGCGAATTTAATCTTCATGGCATGTTATTTTCTGTTATTTTCTGTTCTTTTCTTCATGTTAGTTTAATTGCTTTAGGATATTGCATTTATTTTAGGATTTGTAGCTTTTATTACACTTGTTTGGTTGTGAAGTCCTTGGAGGTTTCCAAGGCAATTAGTAACCCATTTTGCAGAATTCTACTCTCTGTTTTGCAACATCGTCTGGGGCGCAATTGATTTCACAGACGTTCTTTCCAGCCATCCCATTGGAGGTCGACCGTTGGAAAGGAGAAGGGTCATATGGAAAATCCTATTTTCTTGTTTTTAGACAAAGCAAGTGGCACGCCTAACATCCAACCCATGTGGTAAAGGCCGGCTGAGGATTTTTGGGGAAACAATTACTAATTAATTAATTACTACTATCACTCTCAGAAATGTATTCAATATTTTCTTTTTCAAATGTAGAATAATCTTCAAATTCTTCCTCCTCATTATCCTCTTCCTCAAATTCTTTATCATCATCCACATCCTCAAATTCTACATTAATGGCAGATACAATCCCATCAATATCTTGAATAGGTTTCTATAATATCAAATCTAACTCAGTCGGTTGGGGAGCTAGAGGGTCATCATCTTGAAAAATGAGTTCTGGATTATCATGTTGGTCTTCTTGCTCATCTGACATCTCAATAATACTTCTTGCCTTGCATTTCAATACAGCAACCCATCTTTTCCTAATAGAATTATGTAATAGATATAGAGTATAATACACTTGTTTAGCTTGACTCGCCAAGATAAAAGCCTCATAAGTTCATAATTTTCTATTTGGATTAATATCAACAAGACGATATTTTTGGTCAACCATAATTCCTCGGGAATTTCATACCAATCACATTTAAATAAAACAACCATCTGTCGGTGTCTGGAGCCAACATATTAAAGATCAATCACTTTTTGCAACAACCCATAAAAATCCAAATCTGATTCTGTTCCTGTGGTTCCCATGACACACATTTCTATTCATTGTTTTTTTGTTTTTTCCACAAAAGGCCGTGTGAAATCAAAAACCGTTTACCTAAAAGCCTTTATAGCATGAAACCATCCAAGATGGGTCACGAGCCAAATCAATCAAATGCTCATCAATGCCCTTAAACTCATCACGTAAAACCTATATCACATGGGTTATTTTATTAGTTATAAGTATATAATAATTAAAATTTAAGATTAACTTATCGAATTTTCAAACTATGGCATACGATAATTAGAACGTTTCATTTTTATTTGTTAGGGAGTCATATTTTGACATTCTTCCTCTTCAAAAACCCTAATCAATCATCCATTAGGATTATGTGTAAATTAAAATAGGTCATTTAATTTCTCAAATGTTGTTAAGGATAAGGATTGGGGAAATGT